GGGCACCCCACATTTAGCAATGCAGTCAGGGGTGAATCTGACATTCGAGTTTTTTTTGGCAGGGGTCAACTCGTTCCCATGGATTGTTTGGCACCAACGCAAACGAGTGAAAAAACGGGAAAAATGAAACGGAGGAGTCGTTGACATCGTATATGCACCACGATAAAAGCAATGCTTTCCCTTCCCTTGAGTTTGGTTAGTTATTTGGGTTTCAGTTGGAATTTGCATTCGATCCAAGGGGTGTTTTGAATGCCAATATTGCATGCCCCCTCTGCCAAAAACATATTTGGTGATACATTTTTTCAACTTACTTTGATTTGCCCAACATTTCGTCAAGGATGTTGTTTTCCGTGTTGTCTCGCAGCGGTTTTGTGGATATACTGCCCCAGCAGCTGCTTTTCATTAAGTTGTGTCCTCTCATGCAAGCAAACGGCACAAGAGGTCAAATCAAGTCAAAAGCCTCGTGTACAGTGACACATGGGCACGAAAGCGTGAGAATATTTACTGCAAATGGCACAAGAGGGCGAGGGAAAAATGAGAGGACGTTTCTACCACCCATCCAAACATTGCTACAAAACCCTGCTAGGAAACGTAATCATCGCGGTTTGCACGTTGCGCGGGGAACATGTTTCTATTAATGTTGATGAGGGTTTCGAGCAAATTGCAAAGAATTATTCCGAAACTATTTATGCGCACGTGGAAGGCTGACGGAGGCCGATAGAAGAAATATGTGAGGTTGCCTGGGTATCATGTAGGACAGAAATCCACGCGCGAGTCAAGCCAGTTGTTGAAAACTATTTGAGGCCAGAGGGAAGCAGACATGTATGTTTCAATGGAAACAACTGTAGGGATGAAATGGGGGCAAACGTCATGGAACATTCCACATTGCCGCGCGACGCATTGTCTGGACAGAGATGCCAGGTGGTTCACAGGAATTTGCTGCGATACAGACGGAATGGACGGCAACATGCGCAACACGCCAACTTTTCTATACGCAAGTCGCGGTGCCAAAGTATACCGCGCGGCCACACCAACACCATGTCATGTTTTCGTTTACTAACGAATTCGCATTGGGAAAAGTGCGATGTGTGACCGTCAGAGCATGGCTAGATTTTGCATGTGGACGCGTTTTTGCCATCAAGGTGCAAGCAAAAATCCGTAGTAACGCTCCAAAGTTTCAAAGATGGATCTTTTGAGCGATGTGCGATCAGGCCCGGAAGATCACCTGAAGCGAGGTTTTGATTTGTTTTGTGTGCTTCTTTGTTTGCAATGCGTCACGGGGCTTCATTGTTGCACGGTGTATGCATTTCGGACTTGTGTGATGTGCTTCAGGCCCATGATTCATGCCACCAACCAGGATGCTGCCTGCGCAAGGCCCCAAACACCTGGTAAAGATCTTGGCCTGAAACGTTGTGTCTTTTTAGGCCAGTTTGTTGATGTTCATGATTGTCATGGGTTGACATGGGTTGGCTGATGTAAATGGCGCCGAGGACGAAGTTGTGCAAGCATTTCACCAAAGGATATTGCCGCTACCAGGTGACAATTTGCATTGTTGCAGCTCAACTCCAGTGTGCAAATTTGTTGCAGTTGGCGCATGCAGGACAATTGTGCGTTTGCTCATCAAATTGACGAGCTGGTGTATCGACCCGACTTGACGAGACTTCTATTGCACAGCATGTCACTTCTTGGACAATGCATGCGCAAAATTTTTTCTTTTCACACCACGTTGCCTAGGAGAACGAAATTGACCGGGACTTAGAACCATACATGGTGGCATTCAGTTCCGCTGTGCTTGACATGGTGGCTGATGTGTCAACAGTATTGAGGTGTTCTCGATACCTAGCCGGCTCTTGTACCGCTGTTAATTGCAGTTTTGCACACAGTGCGGCGGAGCTGCGCTATGTGGATCGTGCGGGCAGCTCTACAGGGAGGGAGCAGGACTGACAACAATTTTCTTTGTGCCGATGCTGCTACCTCACACAAGTAACCGATGCCAGTGCTGCCAAGCCTGTGACGTGATGATGCAGGAAGAGCATCGTGCACCAGCAACGTCTTCCTTGTCCGCTCCACATGGGATGTTCGAATGCAAGTAACACACTTTGAGTTTGAGCTCGTTCAGCGCTGATGCTGTCATGTTATGTGGTCGTGGCAGCAGATGCCACCCAAGGCTTCGCAATGCTTTAGCAGCGGAAATGTTCCCGCTTCCAGCTTCATGGCTCAATGCCAGGTTTAGTGACACTGTGCCTTCAAGGTTGCAGTGTTGGTACCGATTTCCAACATTCAGCACAAAACAGGTTTCAACTATGCCGACACCGCCGCAACATTGGTTGAACAGGCCGTGGCGTCAAATTGAGCCCGGCTCCGACAAAGAGATCAGTTTACGCATGTGACCAGGCCTCATGCTGCGGATGTGGTCAGTGTGAGCAGCCCAGACACTCTCTCTGCTGCCAGCTGTTGGGGCAGTTGCAAGTGTTGACAAAGTCATGCATTTGATCAGGCAGAGCACGGACCAGATTCTATCGCCGCCGCTTCGTCTGTATGCGCCAGGCATGGCGCATGGGATGGTTCACGGTATCAGGAATCAGCACAGGATGTTTGAAACATTCTGTGTGCAGGTGGGCTTCCTTGAGCATCGGCATTTTGTCATGGAAGCGCAAGCGCCTTCTCCAGCACGGCTGCCTACTGTTACGCAAGTCAAGCCAATCAAGTTTATCGAAATCAGAGGTGGACGCTTGGAAAAGCAGAGTCCCACGCGTTTAAGTCCAGGATGTTTGCTCGTCATTACTGTTTTCAATGTCTTTTGCAGCATGAGTCGTGTTGGTGATGCGTGGGCAGCTAAGGACCAAGTTTCAGCTGTTCTCCTGGAAGATTTCGTTTGGCTTCACGACTTTGTTGTACTTGCACGCAACTGCAGCCGGCAACTGGTCTACATGAGCAGCTTTTCTAGCTTTGGCGAAAGCCTTGCCGTACTGCCGCACGCATGGGACATGACGGCACCATTAATTTCGATACACGCAGCTGTGATAGGCTCTGGCATTTCCCAAACTGTCCGGACTGACGAAGGTTGTTGGCGCTACCTGCACCGGAGTCATTGGCAGATGAGTTAATCTGTCTTCAATGAACAGCACTGCTTGCAGAACGCCAATGCCTAGCAACGTCTGACCGACAGTTCTGCGAATGCAGAGTTGCAGGCTAATCTGCAAGTGTTCTGTGAAGGGATTTCCTACGCACTGTTGTCGGCTTGGCTTGTAGGGTCCCTGCCTTGAAAAGTAGCTTGCTGAGCGTGACTGTGCGGTTGCATTCCAGACCGGAGGAAAGAGCGGAAGCAGCCAAAATTTTAAGACCAACCGCTGTCAAATCTTGATTGCCTTATTATGTTATTTACTGATTGCTTGCCAACATGTACTTGGGATATTCAGCCCTCTTAATGGCTGAAGTGCGTGGGGTGATCTTCAGAAACTGGATCGGTGAAGTATTGCCAGAGATTTGCGTAACACTGATCTTTTTGAAGATCATCCTAGCTACCCGGTATGCGTTTCACAACTTCAGGTCACCTGTCATTGGACATGCTCCTGTTGTATGTGAAGCTGTTTAACTTGTGATGGTTTTCGCAAGGTGACCAACACAGGCAACATTTGCTCGGCATTCCCTGCAAGGTTTGAAGATTTTATCTGGGGGCCAAATCACCTGCCTTTCTGGCAGACAAGGTGGAGGGCTCTTATTTCAGCCCGCAGTAGTGTGCGGTGACTATTGTGTCTGCGTGCACATGTGTCTCTCAACCCAAACGGTTTGAGACAGTACATGCTTGCATTTTGCCTAAGGGCATTTACCGCGACATATGCCATCTGGGCTGTTCTCCCTGTGCTCACCGTGTGTGCAATAGTGTATCAGAGGGAATCTTTGCATCCATCCTTGCTCCAATGGGACCGCAGATGCATATCCATACCAGAAACTTTTATCATTGCCGTTTGGGCCTGGGCTCCCAAGGAAAAAAACATGCACTGTGTAGGGTTGGCAGTTTGTGGGGTTTGCTGCGCTTTCATTTATGATCAAGGTGTCCTGCAGCCACATGGCCAAACAAATTCCTGCTCTGCAGTGCGAGTGCTCGCCATGATGATGGAACCGGTGACCAGGGTCTCTAGAAGCAACGTGGCTTCGTACACAGCTGGTGCTACGGGAACAGCAATTCCTGGTTTCCAGATATCACCGTACACACAGACTTACCAACAGCTGGGGCCTGTAACGCTCCAAGGGGTCCCTCCTGGATTACATCGGGTGCAGGGGCCCTGTGTGTCTGCTTGGGGTAGGCCTTCAGCTCACTCAGCTGTTAGCAGTTCCACTGTAGCTCCACTCCCCACCATGACTGCAAGCCTGGGGCGGCCCCAAATGGAACTTGCAGTGTCAAGCGCAGCAGCAGTGCCTCCAATCCAGTTTGTTCCAACTGGTTCTTGTTGTGGAGCCCAACCAGCAGCATCTTCCCAGTGGCAGTCTTCGCCCAGAACATCTCCGTGCTCCCCAGTTCTGGCCGGAACTCCTGTGACAGCTGCGCAAAGCTCGTTGCTGGGAACGCCTTTCGCCGGGCCTTCGAGCACCACATTTCCGATGCCTGAACCAGAGGCCGATGCAGCCCAGCCAGGTATCCCGCACGACGTCAATGAACCTGGTGGGGCTCTGCCGAACTTCCAGATGCCTGAGCCTACGCGACCCGCCAAAGCGGTGAAGGCGAATAAGGGAAGAAAGAAATGTGCTTGCTGCAACTAGGTTTTTGTTGCAGGTTCTGAAATGTTCTGGCCAATTACAATGGCTAGTCTTGTTATCCTGCAGCAATGACTGCACGGAATTCTCGATTTGCCTTCATGTTGTGCGCGAAATAAAAGGCAATCCGGTTTTCATGCCGCATGCGGTTGGTGATGATTGCAACTGATCACATGGTTGGAAGCAGGCTGCTACCGCAGACGGGCCTAGCAGAGATATAGGCGTGTTTAGAGAAAAGAATCGCCATGGCGGCTGCCCTGCCAACAACGCAGGTTGGTGCACAGACGGTTGCGGCTCTGCCGACGCAGATAGGGAGCACAACGATGCCTGGTGTGCAGACAATGCCGGCTGTTCAATATGCAGGCGCCCCAACGTACACTTACTTGAACCCATCTCAGCCTTATACTACCTATGCGGGCGGGATGGCATCACTACCAACGTCAACGTGGATCCAGCCTGCCGTGACAACTGTGAGCCCACAAGCACTTCCTGTAACCTCTGTGCCAGCAACTTCCATGCCAGCCACTTCCATGCCCACAACGGTTGCAGGTTCACAGTACGGACAGTACGTAATGCCAACCTACACATACCCCGTGTACCCAGGAGCTTCTTATCCTATGGTCTCAGCATCTGCTCCTCAGAACTTGCCCACCACCATTGTTGCAAACCCCGCAGAGGCTGGAATGGCCCCAGCTCCATCAGAGCAGCCTGTGGTGGCTGAAGTTCAGGCGGCGGCTGTAACATCGAACGTCAGTGCGACGCCGCTAGTTCAGGCAGCACCAACTCCCACAAATACGCCCGTGATGCAGTCTGTTGGCACTGCCAGCAGTGGTGTGATGCAATCCCTGGGTGCTGCGAACACACCAGTGACGCAGATGCAACCCATGCAATCTCAATCCCCAATGGCTCAGTCCTTCGTCATGGTTGGCACACCGCAGGCAATGCTGACTTCCTTGCCAGCTGGCTCGCCTGTCGCTTCAACCCCGCAGGGCTTTCCTCAAATGTCCCTCCCTGCCACCAGCGCATCGGTTCCAATGGACCCGGCCACCAGCCTCGGGGCATCCCGGCCAGAGTCTGAGGTGAAGACGCAGTCAAAGGATCTTCGAAAGCCAGGAAAGAAGCCCAAAAAGGGCAAGAACAAGTTTGGCTGCTGTGGTTGCTGAGCGGCACCACGATATGAGGGTAAGGTTGTACCTGCTTTGCTGCGTATATTGCCATCCCTAGTAGTGCTTTCAAGCAGGGAAGATGATAAGCGAAGAGCCCAACAAACATCGGATTTTGCAAGCATGTTATACTTTGGGGGCATGTAGTGCGCAGCGGGCAGCAATTTGGACAGCACTTGTCTTCGCTCTTGCAGGAATCCTATCATAAACCTATGAAATCTGAATGCCGCAAGTTGCGCTGTATGGTGTTAGAGTGCTTGTGCAAGTGGCCTGCTTTTGCATATTCGCATTGGCTACAGTGCCTATATGAGGTAGGTGGCGGAGCGGATCAAAAAGGCGCAGGTGCTGCGGAGGTCTGGCCTTGTCTGAAGATTAGGGGTCCCTCCATAGCCGCCATAGCCACTTTCGCCCTTTCATTTGCTCTTCTCAAACGCGAGATCATGGCTGTGTCAGACAATGCGTTGTGATATGCAGCGGCTCAAAAGGTTGCTGCCGGGCAGTAGAAGGAGCCAAAGAACTGCAGTGCCCTTGCCAAGGTGACCTAGCGCTTGTGGCAACTTTTCTATCTGACTTGCACGTGATCCTGAAGATGGGTCGCCGACAATTCCCGTGTTAGCAGGAAGCTGGAAATGTTTCCTGTGAAGGTGGCCATGGATGGGAGTTTGGACCTGGTCCGGGCCTGAATTTGAGGAAACTAGGGCGTTGATCTAGAGAGAGGTCCTTGTGGGAAAACCGAAACGGATGGACAACCAGGACAGCAAGATGTGTCTGGGAGATAGATCTGCTAGGGCTTTTTCTCGCCGAACTTTTGTGTAACTCAACTTGCGTGCTATAGCTAGGCTCTCAGTTCGGCCAGGCTGCTGGGATCCGAACAACTCCCAGAGCCAAGATTCTTGTTTGCGTCTGAAGGATGCATCACGTTTTCAGATACGTTCTGTTTCAATCCTGTCCGTCTCACTTGAGCTCTTGGCAAGACCAGTGAAAGCTTGTTCATGTAGAAAGATTCCGCATTTCACAAGGCATGGTGCTCATACAGACTTGTGGTTCGCGATGTACGTCTGTGAGAAATTTTCGCGAAAGTTCCGCTTAAGTGCCGCAGAAGCAGAGGTCAACATTTCTAGGCGAAGTAAGCGCTCGCTGCAGATGCAGCCAAACGTGGGGCAATTCTAGCCCGCCCGTTCTGGGCCGGAAAAGTGAGGCTGGAATTCGGGCAGGAAAGCTCCATGAAGGTCTAGGCTTCAGCTTGAATGCCCCGAAATCGAGTGTTTTCTGCCTTTTTTTACGCGAACTTAGCGGCGCCCGGATTGTGAATGCAATGGGTTGAAGCTGCTAAATGAGCTAGATTTCGGAAACATGCGCGGCCATGTATCCCTCAAAGTTTCGCCACTTTTTGCTCGTGCAGACGGTAGTGGCGTGAAGGAGCAGTATGCAAGAACATAGTAAGAGGCGTGGCGCAGTGCCTGCCTTGGCAATCAGACAGGTTTTAGCCACTGCATCCCCTCTGCGGGACCGGAGCAATGAGGCCTGAGTGTGGTGTAGGGGTCGGTCGGATCCAGTACTTGCCGTCATCACATGAGGCCTTTCTTTAGTACTATTGGCTTGCAGAGTTCTCTTATTCCTTCAGCCGTCAGGTGGACACCATCAAGACTACCCCAAGCAAGCGTCGCAGTCGCGGTGGAGAGGATTGGATTTCGGTTTTAGCACTTTTCGCCTTCAGGGCAGCGCAGATGCATGGTGCTAGGAGAGACGCCGCGCAAGCAAGGACTCCGAGGAGTTGGAGGACTGCCGCAGGTGCTTCGCCAAAAGAGAACAAGGACCATTGAGACAACAGCTCTAATTATTGAGTTCAAGAAGCCAGTTTCACTTTTGAAAGGGTGCTGATGCATTTAGCTTCACACGATGTAGTCTTAGAATCTCTTAGTGGCTTGCTGGCAAAAGCAGGCCACAGAGATTCCTTCGATCTCCTTCCTATGCGAGGTCCATGGCTGAGTCTGAGATGATGAGCTTCGTCGGGATCTTAGCGGCTGGAGAAGTAGCATGGTCAAGTTGGAAGCCTACTTGCTACTCTTGGCCAGGATGAGATGCGCAAGCAGCCGGCAACCCAGGATACTATCCATCGGTCTGACATGCATGCCTCAGCGTTATCTGGGCTTGGAAAGAAGGAGGGCAAGAGCGGATCATGTCTCGCACGCACTCGCGAGCATCAGTGATGCGTCCTGCGAATTCGTTTTAAGGCTATGCTTGTGGCAGACTCATCTCAGCGAGTTGGCTGCGGAGCAGAAAGATGCGGAGAAGCTTCGACAGGAGATGCTCGAAGATAAGGTGTACATGTGTGGGTATCTGCGTCATGGCACCCACCCACACCCACACGCACATGCACACATACATGTAAACTGTATATGCTCATCAAGAATATTTACATGTTCATCAATAGTATGCCAAGTGGACACAGCGGTTTCACTTGTGTAGCATGCCCTTGCTGTGGAAGACCCTCTAGATGGCATGGCAGAGAAAGAGATACCTAGTGTAGATACAGCAATAGATAGATCGTGCCAGTCTGGCTTTGCTTGTGAAATGCAGAGAGGACACATTGAGCCTGCGGAACAAGCTCTCAAGCTGCGAGGCCTCTGCAAAGCACCGTAAGAAAAGCTGTCGCCTGTATTCCTGAGGAGGTCCTTAGATGCAACTGTTCCGGCCTTTCCTGGTGGTTACCTTCTTGTGCTCATCCTCATGACAAGGCAGAAGCAAGCGACAGATCTCGTAGGCTGGCTTCGTTGCTCCGTGATTCGCTTTTCAGATTTTGCCAGTTAGGGCTGATGCAAGCTTCTACACAAGTGAACTGTGTGCGTTTCTTAGCAGCGACAGACCCGACTGTCTTTGTTGTTTCCGCAGCCTGCAGCTCAAAGGGGGCTGCGGTTGACGACACTGCCGGTGCTGTGCCATGTGAGCACCGCTCCTTCGTCAACAAGGTTTCATGACACAAGATGAATGTCAATTGCTGCTGTTTGCGTCGGAGCTTTCTGTAGGCTCACGTGGTTGACTTTGTCCGTTGTTGTGCTACGGCCTGCACTTGTCGGTGATCAGAAGCTAAAACGCATTAGTTGGCTTGAGCAGGCGTGAGTTCAAGTCAGGTCCTTTTTGAAATTTGTAGCACGATGTGGGAAAGGGGTCCTTTCAGGACAAGCAGGCCAGCGAGCCGGCAGGTGCAAACATTGTTTGGCTCTTGAAGCGGCCTACGTTAAATCGTGTCACGATGAAGATGCTGCAGGGGAGAGTCTCAGCTGGGCTGGGCAAGCCTGGCAGCGTCTGAATCAATGAAGCATTTTGCTGTGCCCTCCTCAGTCCATTTCTTTGGTGTTGTGATATGTGCAGTTTTGCGAGAGCCATGTGGGTGTTGACAGGTGCAGATAATTTTGTTCACAGCGACAGTCCATGTGCCGAAAGCAGCTAGGGGGCATTCATTTTCTGCATACTGGTGTTGCAGCAGCTGTGGCAGTGCATGATCTGCTTCAATGTCCAGAAAGTTTTGTGATGCCAACGGGTGTTCTGTCCAAGGCAGTTAAGACATCGCAAAGCGGATCGTTTCTTGGCTGGGTGAAAAAGTCCAGTCCACTATGTCAGCATGTCATCGGATTCTAGCAGTGCCTCCAAAACCTGAGGTGGGATGCAGTCTGGCCAAAAGATCCATTTGCGTCTGACAGCTTTGTAATTGTGTTCACATGACTGACTTCTCATAGTAGTGCTTGCTTCTTCCCACCCTCTGCTTCTTCAGCTGTGCAAGCCATCATCTGGTGCCCATTGCTGTTTTTGCCCAGAGGACCGTTTGGTCGCAAAGACCGTTTTCGACGAGGGACGCCTTCCTGGAACAGCCAATGCCGACGAATACGAGAGGCAAGGCGCTGCAAACAACTGTCTCACAAAAGTGCATGAAATGTGATAGAACCTTCGACGAGTGGGACGCAGACTCCGATGACACTCTCTCTCAAGAGGAGCTTGTGCAGGCAGACATTTGTTGAATTGCCACCTGGGGAAGAGCTTTTTCTTCCTGTTTGCAGAACAACTTTGTTTTGGCAGGGGCTGAAGTCTGGACGTGGCCCTTTTGTGGCTGCAGATCCATATCGACAGTTCCGCTTACTTGATGCGGATGGAGTGCCTTGATTCATCTTACACGCTTGAGCTTGCTTAGGCTTGAATCTTATCGGCTACAGCTCAAGAGTGCTTCATGTGCTTACAACCAGGATGGCTTGATTTCGCGCACGGAATTTGGCAATAGTGCAGTGCAGGCCACACACATTGCCGTCTGGGTTTCTTGTGCGACCTCTGGCTGTGAGCTGCTATTCGCGTGATTTCTGATTCTGATGTCAACATAGTTTCCTGTCATGATTGAACTGCGCAGGCAGTTCAAACGCTGACGGATGTGACAGCATCTGCGCGAGCTTGCGTTGCACCAGAAGTGAAGGACGTTGGGCAACACTGCACCTTTGAAACGCAATGTTCTTTGAGTTGCGTGTGCTCGGCTAGGGATGCCACAAAATGTTGAGAGAAATGAGCGATTGATTCTGATAAATGATCCAATTTGATTGGCAGGACACGGACGGCTACCTTGTCACAGAAACTTCTTTGGACATTGGCAGCTTCAAGGTCGTAGCATCTTGTGGTTCGGGACTGGTGGGCCGAGCTATGGTTTCTCCCTGCTCTAGCTGCTTGGCGGTCAGCTTGATGCGAATGTTCTGCTGAGGGCGCGCAATACCTTATTCATTCCAACACTGCAATTGACCTTGCATGACGTTGCTTTCAGCTGTGGAAGGTTTCTGTAATCTGAGATGCAGCTGCCACGTGCGTTGGACATGCCAAAAGGTCCTCTGCGTTTGATAATGCTCCGGGAAAAAGATTTTTCTGGAGGAGGACGCTGTGGAGCAGTAGGTGTGGCAGTGCTTGTCATCCTTGTCGCTATCCTCGCCGTGGTCGCCGTAGCTGCGGTCGACATGGTGGTTGTCGCTGTCTCGGTCCTCGTCGCCGAAGTCGCCGTAGTCACTGGTCATCCTCCTTCCCCTCCTCCTCCGCCTCCCTCCTCCTCCTGCTCCTCCTCCTCAGCCTCATCTGTTGATGCCGTGGTGGTGGTGGTGGTGGTGGTAGTAGTAGTGGTAGTAGTAGCAGTAGGAGTAGTGGTGGTAGTAGTAGTAGTAGTCGTAGTAGTAGTAGGAGTAGTAGTAGTAATAGTAGTAGTAGTAGTAGTAGTAGTCGTTCGTCGTCGTCGTCGTCGTCGTCGTTCGTCGTCGTCGTCGTCGTAGTAGTAGTAGTAATAATAATAATGAT